GATTAAATATACTTTATAATGTATATTTAATCAATGATCAGAATCGTTATTCGTATGCAATGATTTTTTACCATTGAATCCAAATTTAACACATCCATTACAGTGACCGTTTCTATATACCTAATGTATAGAAGAGTTGTACCCACTCACCTTTTTGGAATTTGAATTCGTCAAAGTCGTCGTCGGCTCCAAACCGGTAACTTATCGTCAGATTGTAATAGTTAGATCAGGAAATAGTTAATTCAGATCGGTTTAGAGTAAGGACTACGGAGCTAGGGATGTGGAATAGTCAAATAGGATTTAAACGACCGTGCTCCCACCCCCAAAGCCGTAACACTCTATGGTTGATTGGAGTCAAGGGAATACCTAGGAGAATCCCCAGTTGTCATTCACTTAGAAGTGGGAAAGAATGATTACCATCCAGCTTCCAATATGCCGCGTAACTGGAGGATACCTACTCCTCAGTACTCATCATATAATGTTCACAGCAGGTAACCGTCACCTTATTCATCGCTTTTTAGTTCTATCAGTTCTATAGTATATGTGGGGATGAGGTTTACTATGAAGTGGTCGCTGTCTATAGTGATGTAGTCGACCAATATATTGAATCCACTACAAAGTCAGTAGCCGATGACGTATTCGTAGTATTTTATAACTCCAAGAGATCCGGTGTATCTACTTGTGGGTGATATCCATACACTGGGCTGATGTAGTTATGTATGTGTTAGTGAAGAATTTCTTTGTTTCCACTTCAAAATCGATGGTTTACTAAAATTGTAAGCATTTAGCATATACATGTAAAATGACTTTATTTTCCAATAAAAAAGTGAGTAAAATGGGTATAATATACTTATTATATTATAATAAAATAACTATCAAAAAATCGATGGGTTTCAAAAATTAAGTTAAACACTTAAGTCATTAAGTTTGAAGTTACTTGCCATAATTTAAATTTGTAAATTCGTAAAACACTTCTTTCTTATCCTTATTTGTTCTTACGAATCTATAATAATTCATTTCACTTCCATATTTACACCCTAAATTCTTGTTGTCTTATAAAAACTTTTATCGGTAAAAAAGGTTTGTTGTTTCCTAAAAATAATAAGATTGCTAAACAACATGATGCATTATGCACAAACAAGAAGTGCATTACAAAGTATTATTGTCGAAAGTCATAAGTTAAACAATTATGAAATAAATGACATGAAATAAACCACATGTTCTATATGAATCAAGGTAGTCAAGACACTAATATTTGTAAAGCTTGTGTTTTCCCTGTAAAACACTTGTACTAATAACGGCTGCAGATAAGTGGTAGACCACGTTTGCTGATAGAAGGCTAAAACAATAAAACAAATACAGATAAATTTAGGTAGTTACTCATCGTTCTCTGTGATTGAAAATCAGTACTAAATGCATCGAGTTCACATAATCTATTTACTAATCATCAAAACAATATATTAAGTGGGAATGATAACTAATTTTTTCTTAATTCAAATCTCAATCAGTAGGTTAGGTTACCTATACTCAATAATAATATAACAAATTTAATATAAAATACTTTTTTTTGTAATCATGTCGTACAGAAAAAAATATTATCACAGAGATACTTATTATAATGGCAGTATAATTTCTATGTAGTTTTTATATTAAAAAAGCGAGTATTTGGATGTCGTTCTGTTGTACATTAGGTGTCTAGAAGGGCGATGTAATGGATGGTATTAAGTTTGAATTCAATGATATAATATCATTGTATACGAAAAACGATTCTCAGCGGAGATGGTATATGTCAGTCTAGGATATTTTTATTGTTATTACTTTGTGTATTGTATTAATTTGATAGCCGATGAGTTGAATTAGTATTTTTCATAATATCATTCTTAAATTATCAATGACGCTGTAAAATTATTATATATAGTTATGTAAAATCGGTTTTTTTTGTGAACCAAATTACAACAAAGCGCCTAAGAATCGTTATTCATTATTGTGTTAATATGTAATTTCGTCTAAATTTGAACTTAAAATAACTATAAAAAAAACTTTGTTTACGTTTATTTTTAGATTTTTTGGTTACAGTATTTACTACTTACGTGAAACCTCGTTTTAAATTAAATAAAACATTTTATCGACGTTAATTGAAAAAAACTAATTATCATCGAAAATTTCATTTGCCTATTTATAGCTCAACATTAGTCAAAATATTTTGAAAATTTAGAAAATTCTAATACAAACATATTCAGTGAAAATTGTATGTATCTGCGGTCATTTGAGTTAGGTTACATCAAAAACCAAAATAGATTTGGTCTTAAACTGGTTTTGGGTAAAAATTAACGTTTTTCCTTAATTTTTTGTTTGTTTCCTGTCGCTTTTTAAAACTATTGGAAATTTTAAATTTTGAAGTCCTGAATGCACCAACTAGATTCACTTTCCTACAAGAAAAGTTGCTGTTGAAGAAAATCGAAGCACCTTTAATGCCCCAAACCGTGATGACTGACACACAAAAAAAAAAAAAAATAATAAAAATAAAAACATACATCATATTTGTAAAATCAATTGCTCCACTCAGGATCTAAAATGTTATTAATATTGATAACTACTTTTGCAAATAATTACCCACCTACAAAACTGTACTTATCTAGTTAATGCATACTAATTAAAGAATATATTATGAGGTTATATAATATATAACCTTCTGTTATAAATATAATTTGTATGTCCATTTTATTTGAACCGTGTGAATATTTTAGTTAATACAAAACTTGTTAATACTATGTTGTGATGGTGAATAATTTTAATAGAGTATTTATTCTAAATCTAAATTATTCACCATTATATTTCAATTTTGTTATTATTTATATTATATAAGTAATTAAGTAGATGTAGATTTTGACTTTGAACACTCTTCTATAGCCCATGCTATATAGAGCTTATACTAATAATTGTGATTAAAACTGTTTATTTTTTTTATTTTTTCAAATTTGTTGCTATTTTTTTAATTTGCTGTTAATATCGTTGCTTGCAAGTACAAGTTAAAACTAAAATTGTTTAAAGCAATTGTTATTTTCTTATCAACTTGAACAAAATTTTGTTGATTTTTCAAATAATAATACTTAAATATTCACATAAATACTATAAATTATAACAACAATTTTATTATTTTTCAAAATGTATAATGTTTTAAACATTTTAAATATCTATGTATATTGTATACTAGTTATAACTTACTAGTACATGGTATATTTTATTAAATTCAACAATTTTTATACATTAGTAAATTGTAAATAACACAATAATCATACTCTAGCGCCTGGCAGACATAAAATAAAATAAATTCCAGTTTTTTTGGTTTAAAATTATATCATTATGAACGAGTTAATTATTGTAAAATAAGAAACTTTTTTGATTATCTATTACCATTATTTATCATTTATTACCTATATAAAAATAAAATAAATTATTTTTATTTTTATTGCAATACTGGATTTAATTTTGCCATCTACGAGTTTTTTATTGTAACAATATCCAGTTACATCGCTATAGGTACAATAGGTACATACTATTTATTCATCTAAATATCTATTGTAATTTTTCTTTTTAGTTAGTGAAATTAGGTGTAGCACCTAAATAATTTCAAAATGTCTTGTAATGTTCGTTTTAGAAAAAGACTCAAATTAATTTTAACTAGAAAGGTTTTTGAAAATATTAGCTACTATGTTGTAGAACATGGTATAATATTAGGTACATTTGATGTGTGTTATCCATTGCCGTGATAACTGATAAATTGTTACGAAATTAATTGATGTTAATTATTTTACAAGCAGCATTTAAGTTTTCTTGAAAATTGATTATTTTATCACTTTTATTTGTCCTATTTAAATGGTATCTGGTTATTAGGTAGTTAAATTCCTTTTTATGAGATGCAATAGTTGCAAGCGAATTGTATCAGTCTATAATATTTATATATACATTATTTGTGTATATATATTGTATAGGTGTTTATATGTACAGTATGTTTAGTTGAGTCCTATGTATTCACTTATTGTGTATGCTATATACATGTAGTATAAATTTATAATGCTCTCTTGTTTTTAGAACTTATAAGTAATAACATATTATATTATGTAATAACTTTTCTAGTACAAACTCATTAGGTGGTAATCATTAAGTTTGAATACTTAAAAGTTCACACTTAATATTAGTGCTGGGCAAATTTTTCATCAATCCGTCATCCAGATTGAATTTTTTATGAAGGATTGAATCCGAAATGCGGTTTATCCGGATTCACCGATCTAATCCGTCAATCCGGATAAACTGATTGAATCCGTAAACCTGGTAAGCCAGAAAATAAAATATTTTAACGAACTGAAAACAGTGAAAACTGAAGACAGCAGTCGTACTGCACTATGGAGTATAGTAAGCATATACGATGTGATAAGAACTAGAATACTTGAATTTTTGGGTTTCTTGTTTGAGTTTAATTTTTAGAATTAATAACATAAATCCGGATTGGTAAATGTAATCCGGATTGATAATATTAATACGGATAAATGGATTGTATCAGTAGTTTCAATCCGGATTCGGTGCCCAGCACTACTTAATATAGACTATAGTTATGATCAAATATTTAAATGTAGGTATAAGGCATAACTACATAAGTACCTACATCAAAGTTATATTATTAGGCATTCAAATTGTCAAACACTATTACAATATTATTCGTATACTACAATCCATAAAATGTTCTAACTTCATTTTACTAGTTCAATAAATATTATTATGTGGCTTGGTGAGGAGCGGTCAATTTGCTGAAACACTATGAGCGTTAGTACCGGCAGTCATTATTGTTAGCTCCTAGATGGGTGACCACCCGGGATTTTTAGCAACAAAATCCTTGTCAAACATACATACGTGTTCCAATCAAACCGTTCCTTTCTACAAACAGCTAATGGCCATAGTTTTCGGGCTCAATTAAAAAAAAATTTAAAAATTTAAAAATATTATTACATCGGTTCAATTAATACATTTATTTTTAGATACAATTTCTTTTACGAAATGACAGGAAAAAATATTTTAAAAACTAATACATTATAAAAATACTATGTACAATACAAATTACTTGATAAAAAAAAATACTAGAATCGGTTGTAACTATTAATAACCTTAAATTAATTTAGTTGAAATGACTAAATCTAACTTATAGTATTTCTTAAATAATTAATAACTTTTGATTAATGATTTATACAATATTAAAATAAAAATTAGGTAAACATTGAGAACTAAAAACTTAATCTTAAATAGACAAAAACCTAACATGAATAATTTTTAAAATTGTCGAGAATCTAAATTTGATACCTATATGTATCTACCTACATATATTTAGTAAATTTTAAACATACTGTTGTTTTAACTGTAGCATCAGTCAATGCATAATGCATATAAATAATAAAACAAAATATATTTTTAAATAGGTACCTATAATATATGTTCATTAATTATTAATTTATATTTTTTTCTCTACAATACGTTGTATTAAAAACTAAAAAAATTGAAAGCGTATATAGTGACAACTACAATTTATTATGATGGCCATAAACTTTTAACAGTATTTTATACTACGCGGTAAGTCGTAAAGACTTTTAGGCTTTTAGCAAGTACTAGCACCTATGTTAACATAGATTAACTATTATATGTAGGTACTGTGTAATACGATTTAAACGATAAATAGTTTTACGGATCTCCATAAAATTGTTCAGTTATTAAAATATAACTGCATGATATTATCTATTCACGTAAAATTAAAAATATGAATGCTCGTAATTTCAAATAATAAAAAAAATTTACTTAATAAGAATATTGTTAAGAGTACCTACTTTGGATATTATACAAGATAAAATACAATTAAAACGATATAAAGTTAATTGTTTATATCGATAAACTATATACATAACTATGAGATTTAGAATATTATCAATATGATCAAAATCAATAGAAATAATAGGTAACGAAATGAGACAATGTGAACTAATACTATAACGTATAAGCACTATCATACACATATTATATACATAATATATTGGTGAGAATAAACAAATAGCTACTGTAAAACATATCAAAGATATTCAAGTGTAAAAAACGTACTTAGAAGTTAGAACCTGCAATCACAATCATATGCTGTTTTTCCACGTACTAATGTATGGGGACTCTGTTGATGGACAAATAAATCGATCGAATTCTTTAGACCAGTCTGTCGATTTACGGCCAACTGGTTCCATCATGTTGTTCCATAAAGCATTTGCAGCTGAAATATAATCATGTTAAAATATAATAGGTACATTGGTGTTGTTTCATTTTGACATTCTTAGATCAGGATTTGACGGCAAATTTTACAACAAAACAAATATGTATGTATTTAACTATTTAGTTAATTTTAATTGTTTGTAACTATTATAGGTAACTCATAAAACTCCTTCTTTGAAATTGTATGGCCATTAAACAAGGTTTCAAGATGTTTAAATATAAAATACATGTTTAATTTATTTTATAAGTGTAATACGTAAGAAAATTGTAATATGATATTTTTTTTCCATTGAATATGTTCAACACTGAAATTGTCCATGTAAATTCAATTTTTAAATTGTTTTTTTTTTTTTTTTGTGCAAGAGTTAGTTACATGAATACCGGTAGAAGTAGAATTCGGCCGTAGTCACGTTTCAAACTATAGTGTATGTAATAATAGTATTAAGAATTGACCTTGATTATTTTAGAATTTTGCGTTTGATTGGTCCTTACTCTTTACTTTTTTTGTCTATTTACAATTTTTATCAAGACTTAGAAAAAATATGATTTAAAAAGTACTTAAATAGACTATTTTAAATGTTCATTCAAAATTTAAAAATGTATAACAAAAAAAAACTATTGAAGTAACTATTTCGTAATTTTTCGTTAGGTTTTTTCGATAATTTTGAAAAGAATCAGAAATGTTTTGACACCCAAAATACAAACCAGATAAAATTTGATTATTACAGACCACTTTCACCTCATTGCAAGTTAAATCATTGTTTTCTGCTATAAAAATTGTCTCTAAACACACCAATACAAGATATTATTGTAAAATTAACCCAACGCCTCTCAGTATCTGAGATATTGAATAACTGCTTATAATATTTTGAACTGTGTATTTTTTATGTTTTAATCAATACCTAGCTTGTACTATAAAAAAATAATTCAATATTTAATCATAAATTTTAAAATATTTTTGAATAATTTTGAATATTTTTTTCAACATCCAATCAACATTTTAAAATTATTCTTACCTCTGGCATAACCTTTTTGACTGAAATGAAAACAATCACTCGCCAAATACGTTGTATCTGTAGTATTAAACCGATTTAATGGGAATTTCAGATGTTCTGGAAATGTTTGGAGAACAACTGCAAAATCTTCTTTATTCTTCAGTTCTTCATTTTCCATCTAAAAATTAGTGTATTCATACAATTAGCTTATATATATGAAGGCGAATATAATAATTGAGAAAGGATGTAATTGTTAAATAAATGTCGTCAAATAATATAGGAAAATATTGCTAAAAGAATCATGTTTTACTAGAATGTTTATCTTTTTTTCCAGCCAATGACAATGTACTCTCAAGATCAATTTCAATAGAAAAAGAGATACTAAAACCCTCATATTTTGTTTTGCTAGTCGAGTTTTAAAGAAAACTACAAAAACGGTCCAATCCTAATTTCAGCCCCGGGTTTTTTTCAATATTTCCAAACTCAGACCGATTATATTTATATTTTTAAGATGTATTTAAAATCAATCACATCTATACTACTATAGTTATCTTTTTAGTAATAACGACTACTATGCGAACTATACTAATGTATTCTCTCGTTCAGTTAATCTCGAGGCTCTGTAACCGTTACGATTTTAAAAACAAATAGTGATCCAAAAACTTAGTATTATTATATTATTATGATAAAGTATTTGGAACACTTGTTGGGGTGGTGAAACTTTTTATTCAAAGTTTAACGGCTTGTTCCAAATATTTGTTTGATTATTGATTTTTGAAAAATATATAATAAGACACCTATTTTACAAAGCTAATAAATACTAAGGCTACTATAGAGACATGTCTCAATACACCGTGCAATCATTAACAAACTTCGAACACCAGTCCGCTTTCCACCATCAACCATTTTGTTATGAGATCGAGATACAAGAGTATCTCTATTACTTTTCAAAATTGAAGACGGATTACGCGGGTAGGTAGAATAGAGAAAAACAATATTTAAAAAAACAACTATCTACTAGCTAGGTAATACAAAAGATACCTTAGTGTCTAAAGGGGTTAATACTACAACAAAATTAATACGGATGTATATGTAAAACGTATTAGTCAGTTATAAATTATAATATGATTATTTTTTAATGATTCAGTGAGTCATCACCTATTTCACTGTTTCTGTCTCTAATTATGCACAATACTGTCTTATGTTACCTAGGTTCAGTCTAGACGTGCAATGTTTGAAATGGAAAACAAAGAAAGGGGGTTGAAAAAATATAAAAATATTTGGCACACCCTCAGTTATACAACTGCACATACTTTAAATTGAAATAAACGGTTTTTTAATGATGCGATATATTAAAAAAATTATACCAACATTTCTGTAACTTCAAAATTATAAAAACACATGTATTAATATTTAATTTTGAAGCAAAAATATTATTCTGCAGATTGCAGACTTCTATTGTAGACTGTTAACTTAACCTTAAAAATGTAATTTGGAAGTTGAATTTTGTCTATACTTAGTACCTACCTACTGGTTTTTATACCTATAACAAACTAAATAAAGAGTGTTTTAAAATTAAAAAGATCGGTTTAGCCAAAAGGCGAAGAATAAGATCAATTTAGTTTTAATTGTGATATTATGTATTCATTTTTTTAAATTAAATAAAGACTAAAAAAACTAAGACATTTTCTATATTTTTCAGCTATTTATTTAACACATTTAGGATTCATACACGTTACTATATAAAAATAAACTTACTATTTCTTTCTCAACTTCTTGAAACTGTTTCATCACTTTTATATAATCTGACAATTTATCTTGGTGTTGTGTCGAATACAAACATGGGCACTCTAGGATATGAGTGAAAAAGCAAATCCATGGCAGATTTGTAAAACTAAGTAAAATTTCTAAATCTATATAACACAAACAATATTTAAATTAATACTTTTTTCATATAACATTATTTCTTTATTGAGGAATAATGATACAGTTATACTAGAGTTATAAAATACCCATTCATCCTTATTTAAAACTTAAATTCTTACAGTTCGTAGTTATAAAATATTTGTTTGGTAGTAAAATTATTTGCGCCTTATTATGTGAATATATTTTGGCATCGATAATCAAGTTATCAACCACGGTCGATTGTCGATAGATATCTGTTATCGATTTGAAGAATTATACATTTATTATAACTTATTGTCATTAGATATACTTATGCCAGGTTGCATGAATAATCACTTAATATTTAAACGAATCAATATTGAGCTCTAATGGTCCTTTAAATATGATTTATTGGCCCATGATTGGTCCATTAAATTTTATAAAACCATTAAGTGAATACATTTTTCCGGCATTAGAATCGTACTAGTTAGAAATTAGAATAACATACAAAAAGACGTATATTAATAAATATATTTAAAAAACAATTTATATCAAGGCTATAAAATAATAATTACATAGGTACGTTTAATTTTATGGAAATCACAGGTTTACGATATTGATCGTTCTGATAATTGCATGATTTAAATTCGGCTTAATCATTTCCCGGGTATTTTGGTCTAAATACTTTCATACAGAATTTCAAATGTCAACTCATATTGTGTTACCCACTCGTTAACACAAAGTGTTTGTTAATGTTTGATGGATTTTCGATTCAAAATCTCAAAAGTTTAAATAAAATATAGTAATCCACCAGTCACCTACGTAATAATATGATACTAAACATAATATATATTACTATATATTTTTAAGTGTTATTATTTGTTAAGAATTACTGTATGCGCATGGTAGGTGTATATATTTTATACATCAGTTTTTATTTTCCACCACTAGAGTGCATAGCTATAGTAGAAACGAGAAAGTTGAAAATTGAAATTATAATAATTTATCTTTTAGTCACTAAAGTTTAGTGTATGGTTTTTCAATTAAGATTAATCTAATGATATACCCGGAGGCTAAAATATTTTTAAAAAATACTTGTACAATTCTTTATGGAAATTTGTCATCTTTAAAATGTCATCCATTCTAACCTCATAGGTCTAATCTATCTATCCAGAAACTCTGTACATTACTTAAACATTTTAAAATTTATTTTAGGTCCATTTCATGAAATATTATAATTATAATTAAAATTAATCTATTACGAAATCAATAAAATCTTTACCCATTTTAATATTTTTTACAACCACGATAGAAATATTGGTAATTTGAGACATTATTTTTGTTGTTAGTTTGATGGTTATTTAAATAATTAGTTAATATTGTAATGTGATATAAAAGTTAACACTGTTTTTGATAAAATGAATGTACAACATTTCAATAAAATATTTTTTTATACCCATATTTATATTTTATAGAAAATCTTCTATGAATGGTTAGTACTTTTTTGTATCTATGTGATTTGTTTTAATAATTTTTTTTTCTTTAATATTCAATTTAATTTACTTGGACTTAGAATGAAGTTGACTATAGTTCGTGGCAAATGTTTTTTTATATATAGTAATGCCTCTAAAACTTCTTGTCTATGTTTTTCAGCATACGTAGTATAATCTTCGTAACACAGTTCTAAGCAAAATGTATTCGAACTCATCATCATTGTAACTAACTGTTGAAAGAAATCTCTGTTATTATGTTATTATTTTTCGTATTAAATCATGAAAAAAAAAAATATATATTTCAGTCTTACCTTCCAGTCTTCTGTTATATTAACCCTCTTATCCATTTTGATTCTTTTCACCAGTTCTCTTGTCATAAATGGTAAGTCTCTACTGAGAGCACCGACTTCAGCTACGTTAAATTGAGAAAAACGCTGTTCAGCCAATGCATCGTCATACGCATAGCCAATCAATTTAGGATTAAAGACTTTCAAAATATTTGGTAAAGTTAAAAATTCTCTCCATGTACCTTTTCCACCTAATAATAATAATTATAAAAAGAAGTTAAATAATTTTGCAAGATAAATCCATATTTAATTGTCCCATATATTATGTCTCTATAAACTTAATTAAAAATAATACCAGCTGTCCATGATGACCCACGATGATCGACGACTAATTGTGGTAAAAAATACGAAAAGCTTCCCGTCCCGACTGTCAAAGAATCTCCAACACTGCCGATTACATCTAAGTCACCTGGTCTTAGTTCATGTACAGACGTTGGCCTTGTTTCAGATCTAGTTCCATTGGTGTTACAAAAAAACTTGGATGACTTCAGTACTCTCTTTTGAGTTTTCTGAAAAACAAAACAAGGTTAAGTTAAGCCTGAATACACCATGGGTGATGTGTTCGTATCCCGAATGAAATTAACTTTATCCGAACCTGTAGCATCCGAGATTTGTCTATATGATGCTGTGAGCTGAACATGTTTTGCAAAAAAAGCCTTGCAGGATACAAATATTTGTCTTGAAGCTGTATAACAGATTTTGGTATATCCGTTAAATTATCATTAGATATCTGATGCATCCATTTCGTTGATTGAAAGTTTGGTCTCCATGTTAATGTGACGGTACAACACCACAAAAAGCACACGCTAATTGCTATTATATCTGATTGTAAAGTAAATTATTTAAAACTTAATTTTCATAGAATAAATCAGCTGTTTTTTTTTTAAAAATTAATTATTTAAATCCTCAATATGTTTTCTTAGTTGACTCTTATACAGTGTTTATACAGTGTTCATACTTTAAACATTTACATATACAAACAAGTTCAAAGAAAAATAATTTTATTACAATTTTAAACAGTTTTCAATAAATAATTTCAGAATATTTTTTTAGATTCTGAGCCGAGTGTTAAAAATTAGAAACTCCCTAGTATTTTACAAAATGAAAACAAAATTAAAGAAAAAGCTGGCATTTTTACGAAAAATCAGTCTCCAAGTAAATAATTTTGTTTCTTGTTGTAACTTAAAAATGAATAACCGTAAACTTGACATTTTCAAGATGGGTATGATAAAATAAAAATATATATTTTAGATCATCTGAGCTATTAATAGAAAATTGTTTGGCATTTTTTAGATTTTATTCAACTTAGTTACGTATGTTTAGTACAATTTTTGTTTGAGATTAAGATATCTTGACAATTTGTAACATGGTTCATTTGTTCTTCACAAGTTTTTGGTATATCAATTGAAAAATATCGAAAATACATACATATTCACAAGTCACAATTAATTGAAGTCATTGTGATATAATATTAAAGCCACTTTATTATTATTTTATGTTAAATTGTTCGTAATACGTGTCTATTCAATTGAAACTACCGTAAATCCAAACATATTGGTAACTTTGTACATACTGTGTTTGGTTTCTTTAAAGGTTCATTAAAAAAAAATATGATGCTCGTAACAAACTATAGAATAACGTGTGACAAAAAAAATTAAATTGTAAATTATTACAGGGTTAAAAACTGTTTGAATTCAAAATGTTGAGGAAACTCGTCAAAATATCCAAGATTCAATACTTATTTTGTAATTAAAATTCTGTACAATTTTTATTGTTATACCTACCTAAGGTTTGAATTTAAAATTTTGTTTTTGTTTTGTAAATCAAAAATTGATAACTATTACTGTAGAGACTTAAAAATTTCACCAAATATTTGTATTTGTATTTTTACAATATTTGTTTTTTTAGCGAAATTAGTAAACAATTTAAAAACATTGAAGAAATTCGTCAAAACTGTGAATTATTTTATAAACATGTTGTCTGACAGCCTATCGAGGAGGTACACTTATCTTATAAAATAGAGCTCCGAAATGATTTTTTTAATTGTTGCCTCTTGTTTTAAGATATTTTTTTTTACAATCACTCGTTACTGATTACTATCAATGTTAAAAATTCATCACGAGCTTCTAAATTAATTTAAAATAAAGTAAGTACTCGTATGTAAATGTCGGACAATACCAATAAAAATAAAAATTTAATATACATAAAAAATATAATGTTTTCAAATATATTATATTAAATATTTTTTTTATTAATTTCAAATATATTACACTAAACTTGTGGAAAAAAGATATTATTATAGATATAAAAAATTATAGTAAAAACTCGCAGCTGATAGTTGAATATTTGTATTAAAATCAAACATTGATTGTAAAAGTAATAATTACTTTAAAATAAATCATAAAAATAAGCACCGGTTTTTACAACGACAGAATACATAATGATAAAAACGAAATGATACTATTATAATAGCATTGCAAGTTATTACTGATATCCGTTAAACACGTGAATACCATTTTTTAATTTGAAATTTTGATAACCGTTGCTACTATATATAGCTATAATATTGTGATCGCCAATAATACCACATTATGAATGTTGATAAAAAAAAACTGTAAAAATCGTGTAAGGCTCATGGAATTTTTTTTTGTAATAAACCACTATTAATAAAACGTATGAGAAAGTAAAAAAATAATAAATATGTAATAATAAAAGCACTCACCTTTTTCAAAAAATCGTCTCATCGCGTTCGTTTCGTTTTGAACGGCACGTGTGATTTTTGTATTTTCGGACCACGACAGCGACTTCGATATCGACTTGCTGCAGCGACTATCACTTAACTACAATCGGCAATAAAATATTGTAAATATATAAACTGGTGTTTGAATGATGTACGAAAACGGTAAAATATAGTTATACATTCTATTAAATCTAAGTACGCGCTTGTTCCGTCTAGCGCCAACCGCGTTTCTTACAATAATAATAACAATATTATACATACCCATTACCCACCTAATGATAAAATACTATTATATTGCTATAATTTTGCTGTTTCCGTCGCCGCCCTCTTCGTCGTCGTAGTCGTCCTATTAAAATAGCCGCGGGCACGACGGCGGTGGCAAGTTCACGGCAGCAGTAGCGTTCACGTCTGACCTCAGTGGCGACGACGAGTATTTATCTTTATTTCCGATGGCCACCACCTGTGCGCGCGTCCTTTGCGCGGCGTGCCGCCGGAACTGGCGGGTGGGCAGGCGGCGTTCACCGACACACATTAACATTATACAGCATACATGCGTAATAATATATTATACCTCTTTGCCTGGACGTGTGTACCTATGTATTTCGCCTAAACGTGACTAACCACGGTCGGTAGGATTAGACGAATCGACTTGATTATTTAAAACCCGAATAAAATAATATCATGCATAACTTAATATTATAATAATGTTGTACTTAATAACATTACTGTGAACGTAACCGTCTAAACTGGCGTATAATAACACTTATAATATGTTATAACGTTCCGGAGATTTTGGTATTATTATGAACATCGTCGGCGTACATCTTGTCAGCCATCTCCGGACCACGATCACCAGCAAGTGTCGAGGTCTAGGACGGAAACCTTGACGCCACTTATCGGTTCTTGTGAGTTCACGAAACTATAAAAGTAGTTACAAATGCTTCAAAGGGGGAACTTTCATTTTCCGATGTTTTTCTAATTTTCGAACATTTTTTTTCTTCTAATTTTCTGTTAGTTTTATTAATGTTTAGTGCATATAATGTATTAACACATGTAAGCGATTTTAGTGTAAATCAGGAAATTTAAAATATTAGATCTAGAATTATAATATCACATGTACCTACCATAATATTATATTATTATATTCATAATATTTGCATTAATATGTCTTAGGTATTTTTAATGCGTACTAAATGTCTGTCGTTATGTATATTATGAGAGCGATAAAATTTTTATCTATCTTCAACGAATATCGGATGTGGTGTTTTATCGGGACTCAAACATATATGAAACAACAACTAATTCAGTTTAAAGCCAGTTAAAGATACATAACTATCTGATTTATTTCCATTATATTGATAATTTATTGTTGTAAGTTTGGTCTTTAGTTTTTGTATTATTCTTTGCTTACTTAAGATAGAGTGTTAATAATGCTAAAAACCCAAAGTTTTATTTTTCAATATTTTTTTATATTTGGCCACTAGTTATGTAACTTATAAGCTATAAGTTATAACCAATGGAAATAAAAATATAATTTTTTTGAGTTTTTTTTGAATTTTTATAAATTCTCATAGGTAAGCTAAATATGTAGATAAGTCATAATATATTTAGAATTGAACGCTTGTTTTTACCATGTATAATGTTTAAATATAGATGATTTATGGTAAATGTCAAAATTTTGACTTGAAATGTTATTGGTGTATTGGTTAATGTTCGAATAATACTACCCATACTGTAGATTCATTTTTTTACTCCCATAAATATTGTCGTCACCGGGTCCAGTCAAAATTATCGGACTGCGCGTAGTTACGACATATTTTAATAATGTTTTTGGTCAGCAGTCATTGCACTCGTCCAACGTTGGCCCCCGAAATGGAATTTTTTAGTAAACACACTCTTACAATATTAATATACTTGGGTGTAACTCGATAAGCAAGCCAGCACGCGCATCTGCATACGTAGACGTAGGTATGCGCAAGTTAGTACGTGTGAGCAATTTAATTCCAGCAACACTTTTAGTTTTATTTTTCAAACAGGTTAATGACACGATCTAATATTGCTATGTCTGTGACGATTACCATATAAATAGTTTTAGGGTACTTACAACTGTATTTGTTGTGGTTTCTGATCATCATACCGTAAATATGCTGTAAATAATTAACCAATAGGTACTTAATATAATATTATGTCTGTGCAATAACGTATTATGTTAAAATAATAGGTAGTACTTAGGTGTTAGGTAGGTATATACTTTAATAGCTGCTATTATAAAACAACAGATTTTGAAAATATTTCATTAGGTACTAAAATAATATAGCCATTAAAGTTGATGTTGCTTACACAAAGTTATGTGACTGCTCTAAGCATTAATAATAGTATTTTAATTTAATTTTTTTGATAGATACCCGGTGCACGTATCGTTGATTTAATGCAAGATTTTTACGAGAATTAGTATTGCATTTAATATACCGTAGCCCACACAAATAAGATAAACATACCTCACGAAGTAAAATTATTAAATAGAAAAATTATTTGATAATTTATTATTTTACGTCGAATAAACAATTGAATTGGAAATTATGTTGTAGTGAACGAGGCACGTGTAGAATATAAATAATATAATCAAGATTGAAGCATTCGCCAAACAGTTATAGTACGGTGAATAATTAAATAATAATAATATATTATGGAATACCTATCTATAAACATTATTATGTATAATATTAAAGTGCAGCTGAATGAATACATTTTATATCTACCAGCTACATTACAATATTATTTATCTTATTTAGAAAAACGTAAAATATTATTATTTTTTAAACTTATAATTATATCTGATTCAATCAATAATTATGCATGCAACAATATTTTAATAACATAGATTATGTGTTTAAGATTTTTAAGCAAATGTGTTAAAGTATTGTACCTATATTATATAAAATGTATAAGTTACTTTCTTAAATATACAGAAAATAATGAAGAACTTTGAGAAAATGTTAATAATATCCTTCTTTAACCAAATCTATTCCAGTTTAGTCAGTGATATCTTAAGACTTTTAATTATTTAAATACAAAATTTAATATGTATTTTTAATTAATACTTTATCACAGGTTCACAAAACATGTAAACAAATAATTTTTAATATTTGTATTAACCTACTCAATGTAATATTAATCATAATATTTTGCAAAACATAATATTTGTTTAATACTAAGCCAATCAATTATGTGTAAACTATATTAAATTGTTAAATTATTATACCTTAAAAGGAAAAGGAATATGATACTGGGTTGAGCAGAGGACGAGGTGAACGAATTCACACGAAAACCTAACCTAACTTAACAAACATTCGATATTTAATCTAATGTTATAATAACTACACAGTAACAAGATTTATTCTATTTTTTTTTTTTGTAACTGACCAATTAGTAGACCATTACATCAAATGTCCGTGTTTTGATAAAATATAAATTAGCAATTGGTATGGTTTTTTGTATTTTAATCTCAGAGTTAAGATACCAGAAAACACATGTTATGTATTATCTCCATTCAGAATCTAGATCACATGTACAAGTTTTTGGTATTGTATTTAGGTTTGAATGGTTTGATCTTTAAGCTACTCAGGTAGTTTTAAAAAGCTAACTTGACTTTAAAAAAAATAATAAAAATCGAAAATATCACATGGCTATAATAATAGCATAATTTGCCGGTGAACTTTTTTTTTTGATAAAGATAGAATAACTAACTTGTTAGGAATTCTATATTAAAATTTATAATGTTAGCTATGAAAAAAAAAACTTTTATGAATTTCTTACTAAAAAATAATTTACAAAACTAAAAAAATTTCTTATCGCTATAATTTATAAATAGCACAAAAAAGTCCAATTATTTTTACAAATCCCAAGTTGATGACAGAAAAAATCACACATTACAATTCCAATACATTCATTCGCTATACTCAGAATCTAAAAACTTATGACGTATCACGTAATATATTGTTATTTCAAGAAAAAAATTATAATTTTCATCGTTGTACTTGTAACACCTAGTTAATTATTTAATTTATTGGTACCTATTCTATAGTTAATGAGCAAAGTAGTTTATTGAATTAATCAATTAATGTTTGGTTACTTACTAAATTAAATGGTCTGTTCAGTTCTTCATGCAGAATTTAGTTTCATATTTTAATATAAATATTCATAACATACCATAATTTTTGTTATGAACCTATGACTGAGTATGTTAAATGCTATAATATTAATATTAGCTACTTTCATAGATTATAAAATAAAATACATACCTACCATGAGTTCTAGATAAGAATTAAAAACCATTCCATTGTCTAATTTATGACTAATTGAAAAAATATTTTCACATTTTTCGATTTGATCGGACATAATCAGATGGCTGCTTGAAGTTATTCTTCTAAATGGTTTTAGATAATAATAATTAAATGACATATTTTTAAATTCTAAAAAGAAATTTGCAATTATTTTCAGATTTTTTAATTCATCAAAATTGTGTAGAAGAGTGAGGGAAGGGGGGGGGGGTGTACCATGTGTACATTTAATGGTCAGTTTCATTATTTCTATTGTAATATTCCAGGTCTTGCAAGATAATTTTCATTTTACAAGATGTTAACCAATTAATTTTTCTAATAAGCTAAGTGAATGTTAGGATAAATTGTATACCAATCTTATTTAAAATTCTTCTGTTTATTAACGACACAAAAAAATGTCATTCTAAGTAAAGTTGTATAAGGTTTTGTTGTTCAGTCAATAACTGGATTCTAACAAAACTATTGCAGCTCTAGGACCAAACTAACTAACTGTAAACGTAATATATCAAACTGTAGGTGAATTATATCTTCATTGTTTCAATTTTTAACGTGGTCAAATTACAACTTTCTTGATAGTTTATTTGATATGATTAATATTGTATTACCTATAACAGGCTGTACTACAGCAACCGTTTAATTTACTCGCAGTGGGAGTGTCCTTATTAATTTCTCTAAGTATTGGACATCTATTCGAATGTAGTACCTACATGAAGTGAAGGTACCTATTGCATGTATTGTTAAATATGATAAATTGTATTGTTAGTTGCCCATGTATTTTCAAAGGACTTTTTACAAATCAATAACAAATAAAACACTTATTTCAAGTATGAATGAGTGTTATTAATTGACAGTACAACTTATGACAGGCATTTATATTGTAAGATTTGTGTCCAAACTTTGTCAGTTAAAATATTTAGCTTCATGATTGGTAATATTTTCAGTTTTATTTTATTTTCATGAAATACAAACTTGGTACATGCTTTTTAAATTTCACTTTTACCTTCCATTCTTAAATGAAAAAAAGTGTATAGCTAAGTACGATGTATAATGTACTTAGACACACTATATATAATATATATTACATAATTAGGAAAAAAGTTGTAGCAAAGAAAGGGATAAATACCCTATGTATAACCCTATTTAATTTTATGCAATACGATTTCATATATTACTTAAATATCTGCAATAGTATATAATACTTTATAATTATTATTACTATATGACCTTTTGTATTGCCCACATTTTGTTAAAATAATGTTATTTCACGTAATTCTGTGATAATACGTTAATCAATATTGTTCAAGTATGTAGCCGTTATTGTTTTTAACAATAACACTAATACATCAAACAATGTTGACTATATTTTTACATACTAAACAATTTTAATAGAATTTACCTTATTTTTACTATAAATACTATGAACATATTTGGTTTGATTAATTATTATTCTTGAAACTTGGGATGAATTGAAAATATTTATCAACACGTTGTTTGATGGCATTACTGAATTAGTTAAATGTCAGATCAAAGGTTTATATTTTGGTATTATGGTGATCTGAATTAGTCAGTTTTAAGTATCCATATTATATTTTCTATTAAATATCCAATAGGTATCAATGTACTATATTTTACTAATATATTGTGCCTGTTTGTCCGTTCCGACTACTGTTTTCATGTAAACGAAACGACTGTACCAACCATGGTTGATTTTATGTAGGTAAGCTATACACTTTTTGTTCTACACTTCTATAATACACAGATGTATATGTACATGTATATCCTTGTGTTCAAGCCTTCAAGGTATTGTTTTATTTGCATTAAACTAATTACATTTTTTAATTTTATTTTTTATATGGTACATCTACTATAAAATGTATTATTACTATATATGACAGCTTTGTTTGTCACTTATTGTTGTTCAGATGTATTTACTGCTTTAGTAAATAAAGAACTTTATAAAAAGTATCTAGTTTGTTTCCCTTCTTATTCAATGTAACACAGACAAATTATAATTTGTTAAAATTTATCTTGACACATCGATTATGTATAGATTATAGATTACAGTCACCAATAATTTAGCACGATCAATCAATTTTTCTAATACAGGTTACTTATTACAGAGAATTAAATATAAAACATAAACACTGATAAACGAAAAATAATTGCACACTAGCTAAATGTTACACACGAACAAAAATTATATTTAAACTTGTGATCAATAGTTTTTATAATCAAAATGTGTGGATATTAGCTAGATGCAGTCAATATTCATTTATAAGTTTAATGGTATGACGTTCTTAAAATAAATGTCTTAAGTACAATTGACAATATTACAATAGAAGACACATTTGGTAGAACAATATTGAGATATTATTAAATCTTTTACTATACAAATACCTGGTAAGAACTTAGAAAATAGTTGAAAGATAGTGAATGTTTTAACTGTTGTATTAATATTGTTGTTATTTGAAAACAATTCAAACATTAAATAGATACAAAAATAAATCAATATATTATTATTATATAAATCAACACTATAATAACAATAATATCAAATTAATATTGATTTAATACTGATTAATATTGATATCTTGAGAAAACTAACACTAAGTTGCTTAATTATATTATGTTAATATTTGTTGTAATGAATTAAATAATTTCTTACTATTTATTTATTAAAACGTTGTGTTTCGATTTTTGAATAAATTAGTATAACTTTAGTTGTATCAGATACTAGTGAGAAATTATATATTAAATTTAAATAATGTATAATGATTAGAATTATTATTTTTATTATGTACGAAATATATTTTATGTATTAAACTATAGTATTAGTTAGTGTACATTTCACTGTACCCACTTAATGTGGTTTTTTAGGTTATTTCGTATAATTTGTAATAACACATGCCCAAACACTGTGTATTGGAATCCATCATTATTGTTGTCAACCATTAAAATGTATACAGTTTTAATACTATTACGATATTGCCTAATTACTTATAAAATATCATGCTGAAATAATAACGTATTATTTTACTTTTCAGTATTTGATAATATTAATTTTTATTAAATTGAAAAAAATGTGAACCAACGCATGTTCAACGCAATACGCAATACGTTCATACGAATACCTGATCTAAATTATTATGGATTAAGGGGCTTAAAAATGTTTGGAAAGGTTAAAAATTCTCTCTGTGTGTCCTGTACACATAAACAACATTATAAAATACTTTCTAAAACGAACCCAAAGTTGTTTTTTATTTTTAAGTATAAGCAATAAATTAAAAAAGAAAACTAATTTTGTGAGGTGGAAGTTATCTTACTCGTGGGTTTAAATAAAAACGTATATAACTCGATAAAATATTTGTTTTTTTTATATTATCGTATAAGCTTCAACTGCTGCTATATTTTTAGTTATTATAATTTATAACTACCTATTTAAAATTGTTTTATTTTTACTAATTATTACAAATCAAATCCTGCAGAGCGGAGCGATGTACTATGTTATGCGTGTATGTGTGTGTGTGTTTGTCAGTAAAGTTTTCATTACATTTTGGACCACGAACAGTGCTTCAATGTTCAACATTTGGGCCTGTTTCTGGTAAAAAATGTTATCTAGTTAGTTCTCTGGTAAAAAGTATGAAATTCTTAATAATAGTTCAATTGATCGTCTTATTTTTTCTTTTTGTAATTCATTTTCTGTATGTACGAGTAAGTACATATCTACTTTTTGAGTTGTTTTCAACTTATTTTGTATTTCGAACAAATCCTCAATGGAAACCTTTGTGAGATTTATAATAACAGACTGGTCGGTAGCAGGAAAAGGGACTTATTTGTATTTTAGTGAGATGTTTATTGTGTTCATTTTGCATCCATTTTGGAACTAGGATATTTTTGAGTTTAAGACTTAAACACTACAACAAATAAGTGCATAAATAATTTCTTTTACTCTTTATTAAGATATATTTACAAAGAACAAAAAACATTATTGTATTATTTTAAATTATTTTGTATATCTATATCAGTTTTGTATTATATTTGTTTGTTGGTGGTACATTGCTTGGAAACACATGTATTATGTATCTAAAGAATTATACTAAAAAAATGTTAAAAATATAGCTTTTAAGTGAAGCTGTTGTTTTTATATTATAATAAATATAGGTATACCAGGAACTAACATAATTATTGTACTTACAAAGCTAATATTGTTTATTTTAATTTTTAAGGGAATTGTTTCGACTGAATAATTTTTACTTGTTTTAGCTTTTTCAAAATGATTTTTTTCTTTAATAAAAGCCTTTTTCGATATTTTTAAAACCTTTTAATAGTTAATAAGTAATAACTGAAGTTTTATAAGTATAGTTATGAGTTGAATAGTATAATATACCTTGGAGTTAATGTGATAGATATTGAATTATTTTTAAAATGGTTCAATATAATTAAGTGGATGTTAAAAAAAATAAATCGTATTACGTATAAGTCAAATTCAGTTAAGTTCAGTAATTTGGTCGGTAATATGAATGGTAGGTTATTATAAAATATCTACTCAATAAAACTTGAATTTTAGAAAAAAATTCTAGAACTGAATTTTTTTTTTGAATATCTACTTTTTGATTTGAAATATCTGATGCGGTGGTTGAGACTGCCATACTTCGCCAGGAACATCTAATGAACCTTTAAAATGAAGAATAATAATCAGTAGTGATCTAAATTCTAAATAAAAGCTTTTAGTTCTCAACAATAATGTTAACACCATTAGGTTCTATTCACACGGTAGATAATATTAATTAGTGATAATTTATTACTCATAACCAAAATGTACTAGATATTTATATTCAATGTGTCAATTACATAATAATCAGAAGATAGTATGATATTATGAATTATTGTAAATACGTGTATTAAAAAGAATGTATAATTCT